AATTTCCAAATTATTCTGAAAGTTTGCTATGAATACCTCTGTACAAAAAAAAAATTTCTTCATTTGTATGACTCATGATCCTGATTGTTACTTTAATCTTTTAAAAATATTTGGTTTTACACTAAAAAGTGCTCTGATTGTATATTAATAAGTACATTATACAAATAAATACTGTAAGATTTAAATAAAAATGGTGAATTATTTATTTGAATCCTTTTTCAATTGCATATTTAAATAAGTACAGCAAATGTGTTTGAATATTCTCACATATATAAGAAATTATACATTTAAATAAATGTATTGTATGCATGTAAATGTGTAATCATTGAAATAAACACAGCTGTATACTCCCCATATGTATAACTCCAGATGTTTGAAGCATATATTCAAATTTCTGGAACTCTACACCTTGGTATCTATTTAAACATCTCGTAGAAAATAGTGTGTTACACATACACAGGAATAAATTTTCAAACTGTATCCACAGTGAGGAAATAAGGTTAGAACAGTGAGTAATGAGTCTCTGCCAATGAATTTCTTATCTTGAACATATCCTTATGAGATAGCTTTTCCTTGCAAATTGTCTGCAAGTAGTTTACTGATCTATAAGGTGGGCCCTAGCGAACTTACCTTCCATGAATATGGCTATTGCAAAGTAGTTTTGCAAGCATCTTTTAAAATAATTAAACTCCAAAAAAATCATGTTTCAAATTAACTTTTAATACTTTACACTTTTGGTGTGGAAGAGTCTCATGTTATCCAGGCCTCAATTATTTATTCTTCAACTCATGCTTGTTCTCCAATACTTGGAACATGTATAATTCAAAATTCCCTCCTAGGCACAAATATATATTAGAAGAAATTATGAGGAATACACTAAACAAATATCAAATAAAATATATCTAGGGACATTGAACAAGAAATAAATGGCTTTACATAAAATTAAGCATCCAGATATATGTTATGAATATGCCTATTTCTTTATTATATAGTGGCAGATATGTCATTTAGTTACATTTGTGCTAAGTTGAATTGTAAACTAGAATCTAATAATTATATGTGCCATCATCTTTCGTCTAGATAAATGTGCATATAGATTGAAATTTGGGAGAATAATTTTGGATCAATTTTCAGAAATTATAATCCTGTCAAAACGTATGAAATTCATTGAATATATTAAAATAAGAAATAGCATATGAAATTACTTAATCTTGTTAAGCAGTCTTTTGCCTTAGATTTTAAAAGTTGAATTATCCAAATTTGCTTTCTCAGTAGCTGGAATCGGCTACTTACTAGGTCAAACACACATATTATTATTTCTGTGGGATTGTCCTAGAACAACATAAGGGAGGTGTTTAGGGTGAATTTTGTTTAAAAATATAAACAAATGATTTTTCATGTAAGTTCATTTAAAAACTCTGTGATCCTCTAAGCCCGTACTTGAAAGTCTTGGTTTTAATCTATTGTACTATATTTAAATCACTTAACAAAACCTGGAAAATGGATATGTTTTCTTAAAGAAAGCCTTCCTTTTCAAAACTCAGAAAATTAATAAACCTTAAAGAACATTTTTATTGATTTCTGTATTTGAAATTACAGTTATATAGCACATATATAGAATGAACTCCATGAAGAGAACTGATATGTTATTAAACATATTTCAGCATTTGTTTGCTTTTTGAATAATTGAATGCAATATTGTCTCTGAAATCTAGAAGAAAATTATCTCAAAAAATTCTTCAGATGATTAATAGTGAGAACATAGAGAATTATTTTATGTATACAGAAGAAATATGGACCATATATTACAAATATTTTGAGGATATAATTTCAAATGTAGAGTTGCCAGCTATTTCTTTAATCATCAAATGACATACATAAAAAGCATAACTTGTAGTGAGCTGAAAATGTTCACATTTACTTCTTTTTTTCTGCTTATTGAGCATTTAACCCAAAATGTCAATGACATATTTCACAAACATTTCTCAAATCAGGATACAGCTCATAAATAATTCCCTGATAGCATTTTCTCCTTCTTAGTGGTACACATAATATTGATAATATGCTCCCCTTGTGTATTACTTCCTCAGTTTCTCCAACTCAAATTCAAGTGTCCCCTTACCATGCTTTACTGGTTCCTTTCTTAATAGTCATTCATCACTTTTTAGTATAATTTATACATAATTTACTTATATATTATGTAAATTGTTTATTATCTTTCTTCACCTCAGAATGTAAGTTGCTTGAGACTAGAGATCTATTCTGTCAGTTTTATTAATTGACGTATGCCAGGTGCCTAACACCTAATAGGTACACAAGAAAAGTTTTAACTAAATTAATTGCTGTAGTTGATTTGTTTTAATTCCTTATACTATTCTAACTCATGAATATGCCACAATTACTATATCAATTGTCCTGTGATAGTGCTTTAGGGCTGTTTCTAGGTTTGTTCTATAACAGGGTGCTTATAAATATTTTTATATGATTTTCCTGGTGTAGATTCGCAAGAGTTTCTCTTTGGTTTATAACCTGGAGTAAAATCACAGATTTCTAGAGCCTGTGTACATTCTAAATGAAAATATACTACCAAAGTGTTTTTTCAAGGTGCTGTACTATTTTGCCCTCCTAACAGAAGTATTTCTGAGATTCAAATGTATTTCTTTTCAGAAAGCCAAATTTTGTCTTTGTTAATTTTCTCTAATGTCTGTTTAATATTTCATTGATTTCTGCTCTTTGTTATTTCTTTTTTCTATTTAATTTTCTTATTTGTCTATGTCTTTAAGGTGGAAACTAAAAAAAATTGATTTAAACTTTTATTCTTTAATAATATAAGCATTTAAAACTAGAAAATTACCTCTAAGAACTGCTTTATTAATATCCCATACATTTTGGTATGTTGTGTTTTAACTAGAAGTCATTTGAAATTATTTTTAAATTTCCCTTTCTGTGAGTTTTTCTTTTATCACTGTTATATTTGTTTAGAATTCTGTTGTTTAGTTTTCAAGTATTTGGGTGTCTTATAAATATCTTATTTTTACTGACTTTTAATTTCATTACAATTTATTAGACAACATACTCTATAAGATTTCAAACTTTTGAAAATTATTGAGACTCATTTTATAGCCCAGCATATGGTTTATCTCAATGATTGCTCTCAGTGTACTAGAAAAGAATGTGTATTCTGCAACTGTTAGATGTAGTGTTCTACAATTCTAAGATTAATAGTATGCACACTTAAATAATTGCTAAGATTCATCAATATTATATCCATTAATATTACCTATTTAGGAGGGATCCCCCTATGCTCTTCTTTCATACTACCCTCAATTTTCTCCCCAACTCCAGCATTCCAGAGCTGGAGTTCACGGTTTCACATTTCACACACCTGTTCACACCTCCTGTTCATACATGATACTTCACAAATGTATAAACCTTGTAAGAGTGTAATTCTATTTTTCACACTCCCACTCTATCTTTTGTATTATTGTTGTCATGTATGTTTCTTTTAAATGC